ATGAATATGAACAACTAACTAACTAATGTTGTGTGTCGATACCAAACACGAGCTACAAATTTTCCGATGAGAGAAACGTCAAACGACAACAGCCAAACGCCGAAACTCGAATACACTCAAAATGGGTATAAGCGAAAAGAATATAAACTAGATTAAATATTGGCGCCTCCGAGGGAAAACAGAGAATGAAGAACAAATATATTTATGTACATACATACAATCTACATGGCCAGATAGTAATGACGGCATGCTACTCAAAGCTTTTTGATTCTTGCTATATGATTCTTAAAGGAATTTCGTAATTTATATTTGAATATATCATTAGGGAGTTGTACTAAAATCTCTCTCTCCCTCCCTCTCTTTCTATTTTTCTGTTTCTCTTTTCCTCTCTGTCTCTAATCTCTTTTCTTTTATCAAAAGTATCAAAAGAAATTCGTAGAAGTAGTACTTAAGGCTATGAATTATGGCCAATAATATTATTGTGTCTTATTACCAGTTTTATACTAATATGAATAAAATGTTCCAAATATAAATAAAAGTATATTATATAAAATTAGAAATAAGACCTACATGAGTTTAAATCAGTGGTATATTTTGTATACTGTCACCTCTCGGCTATGAGTTCGTCCACAATTTTAAATCTTACTGAAATTGAGCTCAACTCAGACAAGCGTTCAATTCTACTGTACCACACAGTAAAAGTATTTACATAAAAAATACAGACGATGTTAAGTGAATTGTTGATCTTATAAAAAAATAAAATAAATAAATAAACTGTCAAACTGTTTGTTAATTATAGTGTGAGATACAACTTTATCTTCAATATACATATATCCATTTATGTACACTGAAAACATATATTCTTATACTACTAAAATGTCTCTTAAAACAAAGATAAACACAAATGTATTTTTATATTTAAAAATTAATAAGAATTTATAGAATTTCAATAATACTCAATGGAGTAGAGGGAGAATAGAGAATACAATAGAGTAAAATAAATAATTCAAATACTGTGCCGTCATAAGGCATTTAAATCCTCTCACAATCCTCGCCTCGCTCTACCTCGCCAAGTCATCAATCTTACCTAACTATAATTTTAGACATATGTATGTACATAGGTTAACAGCATGATTGAATCGTCAAACATTTTTGTCAAGATCACAAGATAATTATGCTATCCAAGCTCTTAGCTCTCAGTTGTCGGATAGACAATGCGTCGCTGACCTTGGTGGGTTCATGACCGTCGACGTTCGTTACTCGAAACTTGACTAACCCAATTGCAACACCTTTTATTCAATTTGCCCGAACACAGATTGGCCCTGTCGATTCCCATGGTAAATGGAGAGTACAACAATTGCTATATGTACGATGTCAACTATACGGAACTCATGGCCCAGGGCAAAATTATGGCCGATCCGAACTGGCCGCGTGTCAAATGTCGCAATGGCTGGTCATATAATTTTACGGAAATACCTTACTCCACGGTGGCCACTGAACAGAATTGGGTCTGCGATGATGCTGCGTTACCCACCTATGCTCAATCCATTTTCTTTCTGGGTGCTATTGTTGGGGGCTTGCTCTTTGGCTGGATAGCTGACCGCTTTGGCCGTATTCCAGCTCTTATTTGTTGTAATCTAATGGGATTACTTGCGGGTGTCGCAACTGCATTTGCTAAAAACTTTTGGCAATTTGCCACAATGCGTTTCTTTGTAGGATTTGCATTCGATAATTGCTTTACCATGATGTACATACTAGGTAAGTGAAAGTGTGTCTCTTTCTCTGCTCGATGTGTATATATACATATATATAAATATTATTAATATGATTTTTGGTTTTCTTTTCGCAGTGCTCGAATATGTGGGCCCCAAATACCGTACTTTTGTTGCCAACATGTCCATCGCCATATTCTTTACAGGCGCCGCCTGTGTGTTGCCCTGGATTGCGTATTTTGTCGCCGATTGGAAGCTTTTAACCATCATTACCTCAGCTCCATTGCTGTTGGTGGTGTTTACGCCTCTCATTGTGCCCGAATCGGCGCGTTGGCTTGTCTCTCAGGGCAATGTAGACAAAGCCATTTCTATACTGCGCCAGCTGGAACGTCGCAATGGTCGTCATGTTCCGAAACAAACGTATCAGAACTTTAGGGACAGCTGCCAGCGGATGCGGGACCAGGAGCAGGAACAGAATGCTAGTTACTCTGTTCTGGATCTTTTCAAATCTCCACGCTTGCGACGCACCACTTTGCTGCTTATTGTCATCTGGATGGCTATATCGTTGGTCTTTGATGGTCATGTACGTAATGTCGGCTCTCTCGGTCTGGACATCTTCTTCACCTTTACTGTGGCCAGTTTTACGGAGCTACCTGCAGATACTTTACTTACTGTTACACTAGACCGCTTCGGACGACGTTGGTTGGCTTGCGGCTCGATGGTTGCCAGTGGCATCTTTAGTCTTCTGGCTACAATAGCACCGGTAGGCGTATATTCTGCCACGTTGGCTATAATGGGTCGTTTCTTTGTGAACATTAGCTATAATATTGGACTGCAGTATGCAGCTGAGATATTACCCACTGTAGTGCGTGCTCAGGGCGTTGCCTTTATACACATCATGGGCTATGTGGCCAGCATTATAGCACCGTTTGTTGTATATTTAGCTAACATATCGCCTGCACTGCCGCTTATCATCTTGGGTTTGCTGGGCATAGCGGGTGGCTTGCTGGCGCTGCTGCTGCCGGAGACACTGCATCACCAATTGCCACAAACACTGAGCGATGGCGAGGAGTTTGGACGTGGTCAGAGCATTTGGGATTTTCCCTGTCTAGCCAAGCAGCTAAACAATGAGGATAAATGCAATACTGATGTAGAGGAGGTGCGTTCGCCGGCGTTTGTGCGTGGCACTCAAACGGGCGCCTCGCTAACTGCATCTACACGCGGTGAGCTGCGCTCCAGCATTTTACGGCGTTCAATTCAATCGCGTAACTCCACCAAACTTTAAACAGCCTATTAGTATTTAATAGCGAAAGCGACTCATTCATTTAGGTATTTTTGCATTTTTCATAGTCCGATTAAGCTAAGTATGTGTTTGTGATATTAATTCTAAGGAACTGCATTGCCATTTGGCCTAATAAAAAAAATTTAGCCAATAACATTTGAATTACTATCTAATACTATCGATAATTTTTACCGCCACCTGTTGTAGAAGTGTCAATTATAGCCGTAGATTTTAGTGCACAATGTTCGACGCCAGCTGGCGCTCTCTGTTTACTTTTTAAATTGGAATAAGATTTATAGTAGTTGGAAATAATAGATTATTGCATTGCAAACAATTAAATGACGCTTATTTATTTGTTTTATCAGTATCCCACTTACCAAGAAATTCCAATGCAAATATTCAACCAAATTACAGATGAAAACCGCTCCCATTTGTTCGGTATAAGAAGCCCTGTGCTGCCAAACTGAACGGCAGTTAACAATGTCAACAGTAGTCTATGTGGTGTTGCTCCTAGGGCTAGCTTTGAGAGGAGGATATGGATATGCCAACAACAGTAATAATAGACTGCTGGCTGTGCTGAATGCATCATCTTCTGCGGTAGATGTGATACTGCAAATCAATGTGGAAGGCAAAAGGACTTCAGCGACCACAGAGATTACGCCGCCACTTAGCTTGAAGGACATTATTCGCGCTGAAATCAATGGGGATTGGGAGCGCGGTCGTTTTATCTTACAACTAGCCAGTCAGACGCGCACGTTGCAACTAAAGCAAGCCGTTTACGAAGCCCTGTGGCAAGAGCTGCAGCAGATGAGGCAAATCTATGATCCTCTCAAAGTACTGGATCTGTATAGCCAGCTTACACAACAGCCGCAGATGCCTTCAGCGCTACTGGTGCAGGTCTACCAGGAGTTTGTTGGGCGCAGCGCTCATTTGCTGGCGGCTCCCTTTCACACGGACAGCCGCAGCGCGAGTTTTCCAAAAGTCGACTCCTTGCTTCAGCGACTTACCCTAAGCACCCTGGACTACTTACGCGATATATTGGAAGCAGTTTTTAATCTAGTATTGGCGCTTGAGTCATCTCTCAGTGTAGTGCAACGTCTCGGTAACTTTAGTGTGAACGTCACCCAATTGACATTAGCCAATCTTCAGCTGCTGCAGCGCACCGAGTTGAAATCAAATGTGGATGCACAAGCAGCAGTGCATGATAATCTTCGTCAGTTGCTGGAGCTGCCAACTTTTGAACAGGAAGTCGGGCGCAACTTGCGTGAAGAGGTCTACGAGCAATTGCCTTTGGATGAGAAAATCCTCTACACTGCACAGAAGATTTGCATCCGCAATATGACAAATCACAATTCCTACATCTACGAGTGCCCGCAGACATATTTAATCTGCACCAATGAACGGGATCCCAAAAAGGCATCCTATTACGTACAGCGAGGAAATGGAGGTGCGAATAATACACTGCAGTTTGCGTTCTATAGTTCCTATTGGCGCAATCGCTATATCCTAATGGAGCCAAGCAACCACTCTACTGGAGACTACATTACAAAGAACGTTTACAGTCGCGATTCTATATTTTGGTGGCAAGTGGTGCAGCTCGCAGGTGGTGGTGTAGCCCTCTATGATGCAGCCACAGCTGATTCAATACTTTGTGGAGGTGATCCCAATCATTGGGACGGCGAAGAGCGACATGTTTATACACGTAGCAGCCTGGAATTTGAAAACTATCGCAGGGAATGCATCTGGAAGGTCGAAGATTGCAGCGATGTGACGAAATAGTCACCAAAATTATACAGAAATATACATACATATATTAAAGCACTTGTATTTTAAACACTTTTACTAAGAGGTATACTTTATATAGAATAGTTAGACGACATAATATATATACATATACATAATTTAGACTATGGCTCAGATATGCCTTTTTTAATGCCATACACTCAATAGGCATAACAAAAACATGAATAGCGTATTTCTAGGCAAATTTAAAAACTAACGCTTTACGCTTATGATCAAATTAATTTATTATTGTGATTATTGTCACTAATCGAAAGGCACAAGAATTTTTAAGCTAACGCTACTTACTACTTTTGCATGAAATCCCATGGTATACAGACAATACCATCGGTTAACACCGAATAGTAATGGGATATATGCAGCTTGATGTGCACGAAATGCTCAGGCTGGCACAGGCGTAGATCACGTAGCGCAGATATCATCTTGTCTGGAGTTACGGCATCGTCCTTAGTTAATGATTGCAATTTCAGTCGTGTGATCGACTCCTCGATGAGCTGTTGTTCGATGTGCTTATCCGTTTCGTATTTGGTCATGCGTTCACGTGCTAGCTTCATATTTTGACTTATAAAATCTACGAGTATGGCCCCGGGGCAGGTGGCGGGAGTGATAAACTGACCCGTTGGACTAACCATCAATGGACCCGCTTCAGATTCGACAACAATTGTAAATTCTTTCAACGTTTGCGGCCAGCTTTTTGGATACAATTGTTTGCTTAAAAAATCGTTGAGGGACGTCGTTACTTTCATAAGATGGTTGGCATAGCCACGCGCCTGTTGCTTCGGCATAAATTTACGTCGTCCGATCTGTATGTTGCGCAGAACCTGGGATAGAGTCAGCTCATAGACTGGTACCACTTTTAAATAGGCATCATGTTGCGGAATGTTTTTGATAAAGTCAATCCAATTGTTTTGCACATCACCAGTGAACAGCATTACATGACCCTCCAAGCTGATGCCTGTAAACGGAGCAAAGACTACAACGCGATTACGCAATGTCTCCAGAACTGTTCCATGGGTTTGGCTGAGGCGCTGCAGCGATTTGAGACAGCCCCTGTAATGCTCTATATTCCAGCCACATTCGTAGCGAGCATCGCGTAGTTGCAAATCTCTGACGAGCACGTTTTTAAGTTTATCAATTTCCGCTTCCATTTCAGATGTTTCTTTAGCCCTTTGTCTAGCCTTAGCAGCATTTTCCTCCATCCAAATGGAGAGAATTGGACGTGCGCTGGTTGCTTCCTATAAAATAAGAGCATTAGCTTTTATAGAGCCGCTAATATAGATATTTACATTACGAAACTGTGTTTCAAAAGCAGAAAAGTCCGTGTTGTAGTAATAATCGTAGCTGGGTTTGTTGGCCAAGCTCTCCTGTGGTTTTACTGGCGGCATGGACTTTACGCTCTTTATGTAATCCGTTGATAGATTGCAGGACTCGAGCAGATCTTGTATAAATTTTTTGGGGTCACGTGTACTGCGATCCATGCGTATCTGAACCAGCCTAAACATATCACGCTTTTCAGTAGCCGCACTCTCCCGCACATAGAATTTTAAAACTTCGGCTTCTTCATTGCGATAGCTCTGTTGGTACAGCGCCTCCAGATGAGCGCTGAGCAGCTTTAATGAATTCTCGTTGGTCTGCCTCTGCTCAGGATGCTGGCCAAATAAATCCGGATGTACAGCAAAATAAAATGGGCGTAAGGCTGTTGTAAGTTCGCTATTCAGATGCCTTCGGATCAATCCAACATTTTGTATGGCCTGCGCCTGCAAGTTGGAATGGATGATGATTTTGACCATTTCACCAGTAAGACGCAATGTCGCTGCCATTATGTAAGCTCTAGAGGAGCTCACTGCACCACATTACGGCTGCCGCACACATACACAGCATACGATCATACGTCTGCTTATTATTTACTTAAAGATTTGATTTATAAGTAAAAAAAATTACGTTTCTGCCAGTCAGCTGTTGACGTTTTGTATTTGTATACGTGAGAAAAGCAAGAATTCTTGTTGCACTGTTGTGTGCTCGTACATTGCAAGCGCAAAAATACCAACAATTACTAGTTTCAGTTGGGTAAGGCAAATTGATATTTTAAATATTTTTGTAGCGAATATTGTTTAGTCCGTCGTATTTATTTAAGTATAAGTATTATATTCAATTATCAATAAAATGTACATGCTAAAAGGTGCATACTTATTTCAGTATTCCTGCCACAGAGGTGGCAACGCTTGGAGATCAGCGTAGCCAGAATTTCAATCAGCTGCAAATACATTTTAGTGGTATCTGTGAATTTATTTATTTAATTTAATATTCAGAATGTCCACTTACTATTTTGTTATAGTTGGGCACAATGACAATCCCATATTCGAAAAAGAGTTCAGCACAGTTAACAAAGAACAGCGCGTAAATACATTAATATATAGTATAATATATAGCCAACAGAGGTGAAGTGCGTTTTATTTCACACTAATTGTATTGCAGAAGGAGGATCACAGGCATCTTAACCAGTTTATAGCGCATGCTGCATTAGATTTGGTAGATGAGCACAAATGGAAAACAGCCAATATGCAATTGAAAAGCATAGATCGTTTTAATCAATGGTTTGTGTCCGCTTTCATTACAGCGTCGCAGATACGCTTCATCATTGTGCACGACAATAAAAACGATGAGGGCATAAAGAACTTCTTTAATGAAATGTACGATACGTATATTAAGCATTCTATGAACGCCTTCTACAAAATTAACACGCCCATTAAATCGCTGATGTTTGATAAGAAATCGGATATCTTTGGGCGCAAGTATTTGTTATCGTAATATACTAATTGTATTATAAGCATTTGTAATAAAATTAAAATAAACCATTCTAAAACACAAAAAAGTTCGAGTCAAAGGTTTTATTGTTAAACAAATTAAATGAGAAAAAAAAGGCCAAAGCATGGGGCATACTTCGGCACAAATATTTCATTAACAATTCATACCATACATTCATAACACTTGCCGTTTAATTTTTATTTAAGTTTTTTATTTAGAAAAGCAGTTTAACGACAAAAAAAAGTTTAAACTTTCAGTGGATTTCTTGAATTCTCATTTCGTATCAAATCTAAAACGATTTAACGCTTTACAATTTTTAAAATAATCTATGGGTGTGTGGTTGAATGTACGAGGTATGAAACGATTTTTAATTAAAACGGCGATATTGTATGGAACTTTAGCAATCTCTTGTTGGTTGGTGCTTAATGCTTTTTGTTCTTTCCATGGCGCTCATATTTAGTTCTGGAAGAGTGCCACAAGATGAGTGGAATGGCCAAAGAAGGCAGCGTCATAATGGCAAAGGCCACCCAATCGAAGAAATGGGAAGAGAAACGTTTGTTGTACTCATTCAGATTTACAATACCACCCTCTCCAGGTTCTGAGCTAATGGCCAATTGGAGCTGCAAGTGAAATCGTGTTAGCCAAGTAGTGAGAGAATCTATATACAGAAAATATACCATCTCAGCCTCCTCGATGGGCTTGTAGGAAACCTCGGCTGCTGTGAAGTTGAAATAGCCAAAAGCCTTGGGCCGCACTACCAGGACATGAGTAAAATTTGTTTGCGGTGCGATACGTTCCACAGTAGCTGATGGCTGGCCCCCGACCACCTCAAAGGCATCGGGATGGAAGCCGTTGTCCACTAGCTGCACATTTGTAGCCGCCCCATTGCCTACATTAAAAATTGTATAGCGCACTAACAAATCGCTCTTCTCGACGAGATATTTGTTAAGGATCTGCTTAGAGACCAGCAGGCGAGCACGTGTCTCATCCTCGGAGACACAAACACTTATTACAGCGAACAAGGCGCAAAACGCTATCGTGTTTTTGAACATGCTGAAATATACAATATTTCGGAACGTTTCACTTTTTGTTGACGTGGAAGGTTCGATGAAAGCGGCGTCGCGTGTAATTATTTGGTTTATTAACACAAGGATAGCAAATAAGTACTTGCCAGCCACTAGAATACTAGAATATTATACTTATTTCTTGGCAACTTACACTAAATGTAGTTACTTAATGCTGCAGGTATGTTATGTGTATGTGTTAAACTAAATTCAGCTTAATGATAAAGACCGCTACTTTCTCGTGGCTGCTTTGTGACGTGTAAACTGTCGGCTGTCAAACTTCGTACAAATACATTTCGCATCGATACTACAGGCATCGATAACGATAGCACGTCGGCAGTCAGCAATGCATCAAAACTGGGAGCCCAGCTGTTTGGCTCCAAAATAATAACAAACGAAATTTATATTTACGCGTTGATTATCTATTAATTACATTAATTTTTTAATATGTAAAATTCTATTTAATTTTTTCAATACGCTTTATATAATAAAAAAAAGTAATAACAACTTTTAGGACAGACACAAGGCGGTGGGGGTGTACCATGTTGCCGGCACCTGTGGTTGCCCTTGAATGACATTGTCACCCTACATGCAATAAATCAGCTTAAAAGGCTTCATATGCAGCTATTTGTAAAATTCTTAAATTGTTTCAACATAACATATACGATTATGCCTCACGAATGATTTCGCTCAATCACCCAACAAAATGATCAGCACACAAAATATGAATCAACTTTACGTGCCAAATTGCACGAAGTAAGCAGGATAGCGCCTATTAGTATCACTACAGCCGAGTCGTCCGTTTATCAGTGCGTTGACACAGAACCAGCAGCAGAGTTCGTTTTTTCATCACACAGAAAAGATTGTTAGCGCTGCCATTAACTCGCCTACAGTCAGAATTTAACCAGCAGCTGGAAAACTCAACTGAAGCATGTCTCTAAACGTGGAAACGAAGCAAACTACACCATATGAAGGCCAAAAACCAGGCACTAGCGGACTACGCAAAAAAGTCTGTTAGAAATGGAAATTTACAGTTACAATTTTTAAAATGTAAGCTTTGCAGGTGAAAGTATTCACGCAGCCCAACTACACGGAAAATTTTGTACAATGCATTCTGGAAGCTAATGGTACAGCTCTGGTAGGGTCAACGTTGGTTGTAGGAGGCGATGGGCGTTACTACTGCAAGGAGGCAGCTGAACTCATTATTCGCATCTGTGCAGGCAATGGAGTGGCCAAGCTGCTGGTGGGTCAGAATGGGATACTCTCTACGCCTGCCGTCTCCAGCTTAATACGCCACAACAAAGCGCTGGGTAAGTGCAGTTACTTAATCAAGATTTAAAGATAACTTGTAATCCACAATAGAGTAGAAGGTGATAAAGGTAGGCGTTTGCTCAGTGACATTCTAATTTAAATACATACATATATAATATACTCGCATATGAATACTATAATAATAATTCTTTCTCTCAATCTTTGATCGGGTTTCAAGGTCATCAAGTCATGGTCACCAAAATATTTTGAAAAAGAAAAAACAAAACTTGTTTCGATTGAGTAAATTTTTTTTTTAAATTAAAAGAATAAATTATAATGTATTTTTTTAGAATTCAGTAAAAATAATAATTCTAAAATTAATGAATTTTTTCAGGTGGTATTGTGTTGACTGCGTCCCACAATCCTGGCGGTCCGGAAAATGATTTCGGAATTAAGTTTAACTGTGAGAATGGAGGACCTGCGCCCGATGCCTTCACCAACAAGATTTACCAACTTTCGACTACTATAAAGGCTTACACACTGGTGCCAAGCTTGCAGATTGACATCTCAAAGGTGGGCGTCAGCAACTACGACATTGGCGGCAAGCCTTTTGTGGTGGAAGTCATTGACTCTGTAGCTAACTATGTACGTCACATGGAGGAGATCTTTGATTTCGGCAAGCTGCACGATTTTGTAAGCGGCCAATCGAATGGAAAGCCCCTAAAGATGCGCATCGACTCCATGAATGGTGTAACCGGTGCCTATGTGCGTGAGATCTTTCTGAACCGTTTGGGTGCTACGGAGACATCTGTGGTTCACACCACTCCACTGCCCGACTTTGGGGGACTTCATCCAGATCCAAATTTAACTTACGCTAAGGATTTAGTGGAGACTGTGGCCAAAGGTGATTATGATATTGGCGCTGCTTTTGATGGCGACGGCGATCGCAACATGATAATCGGTAGCAAGGCCTTCTTTGTAACGCCCAGCGACTCTTTGGCGGTCATAGCGCATTATCTCGATGCAATCCCGTATTTCCAAAAGAATGGGGTACAAGGCTTTGCACGCAGTATGCCCACTGCCTCAGCTGTTGATCTAGTAGGCAAAAAGCTGGGAAAAGAGGTATTCGAGGTACCCACCGGCTGGAAGTATTTTGGTAATCTTATGGATGCAGGACGTCTCTGTCTGTGTGGCGAAGAGAGTTTCGGCACTGGCTCCAATCACATACGAGAGAAAGATGGTATTTGGGCGGTGCTCGCTTGGATTTCCGTTATGCAACACACTGGCAAGAGCATTGAGGACATTCTAAAGCAGCATTGGTCCGTCTATGGACGCAACTACTTCACACGCTACGATTATGAAGAATGCGATTTGGAACCCTGCAACGAAATGATGGCCACTATGGAGAAAAACATCACAGCTGCAGAATTTGTCGGCAAGAGCTTTTCCAGCGAGGGCAAGACCTATAAAGTCAAGGAAGCGGATAACTTCAGCTACACAGATCCCGTGGACAAATCCTTGGCCACCAAGCAGGGATTACGTATTGTGTTCGACGATGGCAGCCGCATTGTGATGCGTCTTAGTGGAACAGGCAGCTCAGGAGCTACCGTACGGTATGTATTTATGATAACGTATTTTTTGTATATACTATTGCAATGATCTCTGTTGCCTATAGCTTGTACATCGACTCTTATGAGAAACAGAATGTGCTGGGCCAGGCGAGTGTTATGCTGAAACCGCTAATAGATATTGCATTGGAAATCTCACAGCTTCCGAAGTTTACTGGGCGCAATGCACCCACTGTCATCACATAAGCGAGAAATCTACAGAATCAACTGCCATTTAGATGTTGCTAGCAGCCTGCTTCGGCATTTGTTATATTAAAATGATTGTAGCTACAACCAAAGTTTGAAAATTTTAAATTGTGAATTATAATTAAATATGTTAGAGGGATTCAACCAATTTTACCCACAAATTATATAATTAATTGAATTCCTATTCCATTTGAATTCGGAAAAGTTAAATCTGTTTTACTTACGATTTTATTTACTGAGATTGTGAAGTCGAAATAAATAAAAATTTTTGTTATACTATCGTTTTTTTTTTTTTTTTTCTTTTTTACATTTAAAGTATATATGCAATGCACATAATATTTTTCGAATTGAATTACATATTGTTACTTTTCGTAAATATTTGAGAACTATCACCAGCGGTTTACGCATAAAAGTGTGCTGCAATTTATTTAAGTGTCGTGTTTGATTATTTTTAACGCACACAAAGAAAAAACACTTATATTTGTGTATATATTTATCAAAATCAAAATTTATTTTAGAGTTGAATGTTACTTTACAGGGGTTGATAAATAATGAAACTCGCTTAAAAGCATATTAGGTACACGCTGCTCCAGGACACTAAGCGGTAAACCAGCCATACGTACGAAAGTCTGCAGGAAGTGCAGCATAGTAATAACATCTGCACCCAATACCTCCTTATCTCTATAAAAGCAATAGGATTCGCAAAATTAAATATTCATCAAAATCTCACAACGTTTATACTCACAGTAGTTGTGCTTCGGCCACAGTTACAACATACTGGCACAAATAGGAGATATACAGCGTTTTAACATTCTTGTGAAATTGTTGAAGTACTGTTAGTAGTCCCAGAATTAAGGGCACACAATCAATGACATCTTTAGCAGACTTTGGAAGTAAACAGTCCGTATTTGCAGAATGCTGCAAGCGACCCACATGCGCAATGGTAAAGAGGAACAGAAATAAGGACATATTGTGCGAATTTTTGGGGGTCATAAAGATCTGCTCCAGAGGATCATAGTTGCCCGTATACTGAAGTATTTCTTGCAGCTCGGTAAGCATGCTCATGCCCTGCTCATTGTACAGTTTCATATTAGACGACAGTTCCAGCAACAAGGCCCTGTAAATTAGGGAACGATTAAGCAAACTCTTCAAGCTCAGATTTATCCACCCGATTTACCGATTCAGTGTTTCTGTTGTATTCTCCAGCAACTTGGCATCACACTTGCTGCTAAAACTTAGCTCGCCGGCAATATGCTGGCGCAGCAGCTGTTTATGTCCAATAGAAAGCATCCAGTCGAGGAGTGTGGGCCACACCTTTAGCCAACGTTGTGTATAGCTTTGATAATATTTAAGCGGGTGTTTGGCCACTTCACTGGGAAAGTCACGGGATTCTAGCTCCTTGGTCAGACTGTTCAGCGCATCACACCACATTCGATCCGTATTTAAATTCTTTTGCAGTCTGCCCATATAACGCTTCAACTCATCTGCCAGCATGTGCGCATAGAGCCTCTCCAGGCCCACCATCCCTGCCGGTGCCATAGCCTCGCGTAGCACGTGGAAAAAACCGGAACCAGGTAGAAGCTGTTGGTGCGGTGCACGTTTGTCATACCACGTGCACTTTAAATCTAAATAAATCGTTTGCTTTGGTTCCGTGCAACGTAATATTTCGTTTGCGAGACGCCCAATGAAATTGTCCGATTTGGTAGCATCTCCCTGCAATGGTTTAAAGTTTGGTATTGGTATTGTTTGAGACTGGAAGCGGGATTGCCATTCCTGCACTTTGTTGCGCAAAAAGCAATTGCATTCCTTTTCCACATTGTAATTAATAATGCGCTGCGATTCTTCTAACAATATACGCAGGCCCTGTACACGCAAATAGTCTTCGATATACTCAAAGGAGCGGCGATAACCCTCGATTGTCTTAGCCAGCGCTTGGAGCTTCTCCTGGAGCAACTGCACAGACGTCTTGTTCTTCTCTGGCGTAAATATAAGGCCTAAATTGTAGGCGTTAGCCAAGTGGTTGACAAATTCCTTACGTATACCATCTTCAAGCAGCTGTTTGGGATCTAGCTCAATGACGCCCACCAAAGTTGTTTTCATCATTAGTATACCTTTGGTAAATACTGCAATGGAATTGGTGAGCTGCGCCACCTTCGCACGCTCTTCGAACTGCGCATATTCGCGTATCTTATCCTTACTAAGACGTGTTGGAAACTCTTTAATGGCATTAGTTAACAGCTGTATTATTCTTGCCAGAATGCTAAACATTGTCTCCGGCACAATCTGAAGCACACGTCGCAAAAAGTTCGCTAGCTCTGTGCTGTAATAGTTAGATACAGAGATCAGATCCTCGCTTTTGGCTTGGTTGATTCGCATCAGGGGCACCTCCAGCGTGCTGGCCAGCTTCAGGAACACAGCTCGTATACTAATGACAGCGCGTGGCAAGGCTTTAATGTGATTCTGCATGATCACAATGAAATCTCGCTGCAGTAAGCACCAGGCGTAGCTGAAATCGCTAATCATCTGAATGTGTATCTCGATATCTTCCTTGAGGTTGATTAACTATGAGATATATGTACAAATTATTAAATTATATCTAAGGCTTATCATAACCCTACCTGTGCCATCTGATTTAGTAGATCGCGAGTTTCCTCCAACTGCTGCTTGACCAGCATATTTGCATGTAAATTGTGATATTCCTGGACTTCGTCCAATGCCTGCATTGCTTGTATGATCAGTCGTCCCGATTTTTGGGGTTTACCGACCTCCAGTCTTTGTAGACGATGAGCTATCTGACCAAACCATTGCTGTAGATGAGGATTCGCTTCCATTTTGGTCAATGGTCGTGATCCCCCAAAGGCTTCACTTAATTGTCTCAGATATTGAATTGCAGCATCCCGATTGTGCGTCCATCGTTGCTCGCGATTGTTTTGAAGCTCAGCCAACAGCTCCCTAACATTCAGCTCTAATTCGCCACAACCCAGCAAAAGGTGGTAGAGCATGCCAGGATCAAATTCGAGTGCAGAAAGTAATTTTTGATGTAGTTGCGCTAATGTCGCCTGGTTAAAGATGATAAGTACGGCGGGTCGTGTGTGAAGGCAATACCAACGTAACAGCACATTAGCTTGTCGCATCAACACAATTATCTGATTGGCATGCTCCAGTACGAAGACATCATCCAAGACACCTTCACGTACAATCTCTCCGATTTTTTGAAGCGTTTTATTCATCTGTTCGCGCTTCTGCTGGCAGAGTGGTTCAAGTGAACTACGTGTAACTACATTGGCCACAGCTGTGCTAGCGGCCTTGAAGCATGACCAGGCATCAATTAAGTTTACAGTGATACCCATATAAATGGAAAGTGTCCAGTTATCGTTGAAGAACTTGTCCACAATCTCACGCATTTGAGCACTTTGGGTGTGCAGCACTTGGGGCGCGAAGTAAAGGCAAACGTAGAGCATCACAGCCTGAGTCGATAATGCTGTGGTTCGATGCGTTGGATGTGGATAGATGGCCAGCTGGTTGTAAATGTCGTCGCAGCGCAAGCGAACCAAAACTAAATCTATAAAATTAGTATCGAAGCGAAAACGCGCAAAGTAAGACTCTGGATAGCTGGGCACAGACACTATTTTGTTCACTGGCAGCATCGCCTGGTTCTGTGTCGGCTGTACAAAACCCGTGGAGCGCAACAGTAGACAAACATCATGAATGTTGCTATCATCGCCGCTGGGTGTGGCATCACCTCCACTATAGCGATAATAGGCAATCAAAAGACGCTCCCGCACATCACCAGGAATATGTAAATCCAAGACGAGCAAAATTACGCCGTACAAGTATAGCGATTCGCACTGCAAACCAAGACTTACTTTAAGGACCAAATTTTTATCATTAAATTTCACTCACCAATAACTGTTTACCCTCCTCATCCTGCAGCACCGTCTCCAGCGTTTGTTGTATATAATAACCACTATTTAGCTCTTCTATATACTGCTGCAAATCTGTAGCATAATGATGTATACTCTGAAAGGCCAGGTAGAAGCGTGTTATTAGCTGAAGGTGATTTGTGCGAGTTTCCAAGTCCAAGTCGCTGAGCTCCTATATATAGATTATATATACTATATAGATTAAATATTATGTTGGCGATATTGTCCATACACTTACCGGACTACCCTCTATCTTCTTTTCATGTGCTTCAGCTACCTTGAAGTAGCTAAAGTCTAATATAATATCCGCATATTTCTGTTTATCAGCTGCGTTTTGCAACCTACGATGCGCAAAAAAATTAATTGAACTCAAAATTGTCCTTTACCAAGCTTACCGATAAATACTAGGAACATATTCTTTAAGTCGCAGTATTTCTGCAATTATGGAGTTGCCCACAGAGACAATATTAAGTAAATTTTGTCCGCATGCATTATTTTCTGAAAGAAACTCGCTCATTTTTATAAAAAAAAAAAAAAAAGCTCAAAAGCTCATACAAACAGCTGATTGAAATTTACGCCTTTAAATTAGACCGAAGGCAATCGTTATTCCTAACGTAAATTATCACGGGTCTATTCAAATTAACACTTAATCGTCAATTAGAACGCTGTGTTAAAAGTTTAAATAATCAGCTTTTTTTATAATAATAATATTTATATGTAAATCAGTTATTACTTTCAAAATACATTATTTCATAAATTCAGCATGTATTACACAGCACTGTTCGATTGCAATCAAATATCGGACTCGATAATATGAAGTGCTTTTCGTTAACACGTGAATGTCCACGCGTTGGCCGCCGCGCATTTTTTTTTTGCAAACCGCCCGTCTGGCGGAATTTACGCTATAAATTTGTTTAATTCTTAAGTAAGACGGATAACATATTATCAACGCATTAAGTTTTGGCTGACAAAATGTCGAGCTTTGTCATAGATAAAGAATCATTTGTTCGTCGAATTAAACGGTTATATACAGAATGGAAGGTAAGGAATCTCACTCTCTGTTTCTCTGTCTGCCGGGCCCACAATTCATAAATATTTATTAAGATTTTCGGGTCCCCGTTGATTGTAACGCCCGATAATGTAATGAAATTACGCCTTAATAAAGTATGGCTACCGAATATTGTAAAATTGTTGGTCATATCTGGCAAAATAGAAAACAAAACAATTCCAAAAGCAATTTAGGTTAGAACGCATGATTTTTAATTTCTTTATAATGCAAAATTCCCAAATTTATTCAACAGACGCCCAGTGCTGGACACGACAATGTGCTCAGCAATTTGGACTGCATCATGAGCGTAGTTGGTGTCGATGAGGATGTCATTTATTCAAAGTCCATGGCATTGCAGCTTTGGCTGCTTGGCTACGAACTGACCGACACAATTTCAGTTTTTGCCTCAGACGCCATATACTTTCTGACTAGCAAAAAGAAAATTGAGTTCCTTAAGCAGGCACAAAATATCAGTGAAGAAGGTGTACCGGAGATCAAGTTACTCGTGCGGGATCGTGTAAGTCTTGCATGTAAGCCTTGTACTATCTAGAATTCTTATCAAATTTTATCTCAATAGAACGACAAAGATCAGGCAAACTTTGAGAAGCTAATTACAGCAATGCAGAACTCGAAGAAGGGCAAACGTTTGGGTGTTTTCACTAAGGATGCTTTTCCTGGCGAATTCAGCGAATCTTGGAAAAAGTTTTTGACTGCTGCCAAGTTTGAGCATGTCGACATTAGTACTATAATTGCTTACTTAATGTGCCCCAAAGACGAGTCAGAGATCAACAATATACGTAAAGCATCGCTGGTTTCCATGGAAATATTCAACAAGTATCTTAAAGATGAAATAATGGACATCATCGATTCGGATAGGGTAGGCTGTACCACAACCAAATTTCATCCAATTGCATATTTATATTTATTATTTGCAGAAAGTTAAGCACACAAAGCTGGCGGACGGCTGCGAGGCAGCTATAGCAGACAAAAAATACACAAGCGGCTTAGATCCACGACTGCTTGACATGGCGTATCCTCCAATTATTCAATCTGGTGGCGCTTATAGCCTAAAATTTTCGGCAGCTGCTGATAAAAATCATTTGCACTTTGGGGTGATTGTGTGCTCGCTGGGCGCGCGCTACAAATCCTATTGCTCCAATATTTCGCGTACGTTTTTGGTTAATCCCACGGAGGCGATGCAGGAGAACTACACGTTTCTGGTAAATGTACAAGAGGAGATACTCAAACTACTTATCCCCGACGCCAAGCTCTGTGAGGTATACGATAAGACACTTGCATATGTAAAAAAGGAAAAGCCGAGTATGGTTGAGAATCTAACCAAGAGCTTTGGATTTGCCATGGGTCTGGAATTCCGTGAGAACTCAATCGTAATTGGTCCTAAGTGTCAGGCGCTTATCAAAAAGAACATGGTCTTCAATCTGCACGTGGGCATTTCGAATTTATCCAATCCCGATGCCACTGATAAGGAAGGAAAAACCTATGCGTTGTTCATAGGTGACACTGTGCTGGTGGGAGATCAGGGTCCAGCCAGTGTAATGACCCCTTCCAAGAAAAAAATCAAGAACGTGGGTATTTTCATTAAGGATGATGACGACGAAGAGGAAGATACGGATGATAAGAAGGCCGCTAAGGCGGATCAAGGAACCGAAATATTAGGTCGCAGCAAGCGCAATGCTGTGCTCGAGTCCAAGCTGCGCAATGAGATCAACACCGAAGAGAAACGCAAGGAACACCAACGTGAACTAGCTCAACAACTCAACGAACGGGCACGGGAACGTTTGGCCAAGCAGGGCAATTCTAAGGAAGTGGAGAAAGTGCGCAAGAATACAGTATCTTACAAGTCCATGAGCCAAATACCTCGTGAACCAGAAGTTAAGGAGCTAAAATTGTATGTGGACAAAAAATATGAGACAGTCATTATGCCAGTGTTTGGCATTCAGGTGCCCTTTCACATATCCACAATTAAGAATATATCTCAGTCTGTGGAGGGTGAGTATACGTATCTGCGCATTAATTTTTTCCATCCTGGCGCCACAATGGGACGTAACGAAGGCGGACTTTATCCACAACCAGAGGCAACCTTTGTCAAGGAAGTGTAAGTAAAAAACGTACTCTCTTTGATCAGTTAATTGTATATTGTATTCTCAATTGCAGCACCTATCGCAGCTCGAACGTGAAGGAACATGGAGAAGTAGCAGCTCCATCTGCCAATCTGAACAATGCGTTCCGTTTGATTAAGGAGGTGCAGAAACGTTTCAAAACTCGTGAGGCTGAGGAGCGTGAAAAAGAGGATTTGGTTAAACAAGATACGCTCATATTGTCACAAAACAAGGGTAATCCTAAGTTAAAGGATTTGTACATTCGACCCAATATTGTAACAAAACGTATGACGGGCAGCTTGGAGGCACATACTAATGGATTTCGCTACATCTCTGTGCGCGGCGATAAGGTGGACATTCTCTACAATAACATAAAGAGCGCCTTCTTTCAGCCTTGTGATGGTGAAATGATTATACTGCTTCATTTTCATTTGAAATATGCAATTATGTTTGGAAAAAAGAAACATGTGGATGTACAGTTCTATACGGAGGTTGGAGAAATTACCACAGATTTGGGCAAGCACCAGCATATGCACGATCGTGACGATTTAGCTGCCGAGCAAGCCGAACGTGAGCTCCGTCACAAGCTTAAAACGGCGTTCAAAAGCTTTTGCGAAAAGGTTGAGGCGATGACCAAGGCACAAGTCGAATTCGATACGCCGTTCCGTGAATTGGGTTTCCCTGGTGCGCCTTTCCGCAGCACTGTTACGCTGCAGCCAACATCTGGGTCGCTGGTCAATCTTACCGAATGGCCACCATTTGTAATCACTCTGGACGATGTGGAGCTGGTGCATTTTGAGCGCGTTCAGTTCCATTTACGTAATTTTGACATGATCTTTGTGTTCAAGGAGTACAACAAAAAGGTGGCAATGGTGAATGCAATACCTATGAATATGCTAGATCACGTCAAGGAATGGTTGAAGTGAGTGATGTCTAAATTTACCTCATATATCTTTTACCCAACCTATTGTGCTTATAGTTCTTGCGACATACGCTACTCGGAAGGCGTGCAATCGCTCAACTGGCAGAAGATTATGAAGACCATTACAGATGATCCTGAAGGATTTTTCGAACAAGGCGGCTGGACATTTCTGGATCCCGAATCAGGCAGCGAGGATGAAAACGAATCAGCTGAATCAGAAGAGGATGAAGCGTATAATCCAACAGATGCTGAATCGGACGATGAAACCGATGAAGATGATTCCGAGTACTCGGAAGCCTCAGAGGATGAAAGCGATGATAGTGATGGTATATTGAATAAATGACTTATCGAATTTCATTTATATATGCTTAACTTCCAGAGCTGGGCTCCGATGAAGAATCTGGTAAGGATTGGTCAGACTTGGAGCGTGAGGCTGCAGAAGAAGATCGCAATAATGATTACAACACCGACGATAAACGGAACGGAAAATTCGATGCAAAGAAACATGGCAAAAGCTCGAAGCACAGGTAAGCTGAGCTCCAAGGACATCCACTATTCATATATATACTTTTTTTTTTAAATCCTCTCTCTCTTCTCCAATTTGTTTAATTACTATACTTGTTCACGCAAAAACAGTCGTCGCGAGCGCGAGGAGCAGCGATCGTCGAACAGTAAAAAGCATAAGTCGAATTCCTCCTCCTCACATTTAAAATCCTCCAGCTCCAAACATGGCAGCTCATCTAGGTTTGTTAACGTATTCACACACGCACGCCAAACGAATTTACATACACATATTTTACACGCACAACATTTATAAAGCACTTTTCAATTTAATTATTCGATCCAACAAAGATCATACGCAATTGGCTTCAAATTGAATTATTTTTGGAATTTATTTATGAAGTAATTCAGAGTATTAATCGGGCTAGCAATGTTAAAACTTTAACTAACTAAATGGAATTTCTGATAACTTTCTAAAAAGCAATTGGAACTTATGCTTTAAATAGTGTATTTTGGAGATAGATGTAGAGACTTATTACTGATACATGTATATGCTTAGATTAGAATTAAAAATTGGTAGAAAAAAACTTGCAAGTTTCTTTATCTTAGACAAAGATTGGTATATCAACCATGAGATATAATTGTATGAAATGAGCAATTAGAGGCTGGCAATAGCAATCAGCAAAACATATATTTAAATTAGTTCATTTAATACAAATATAAGAATGTATGGAGACTTTTAATTTGGTGCTTTTTAAGAATATGGAAAAGTATTAAAAATTCGATGCTTCTAAGGGTGTATTATATTACTGTTATTATTATATAATCCAAGTTCCTGTTAATAAAAAATTAATTGCTTTTGACTAACCAAAAGGAGTTTAAGAACTTTCTTTAAAGCGTCGTTCTTTGATTACGTACCAAATTTTATTTTTTAGGTAGATCGCGCAATTAAATGTTTTGTTTTTTTCTTATAGAATATAAAATCTACTTCATAAACTATGCAAAATTCTGTTCAAAATTTTACCTAATGAAGTCTGTTCAACTACCGAATACATTCGTTTTAATTTGTAAATAATATGATTACTCTCTTTTCAAAGCCCATCGAAATCGTCTAAGGATAAATATCATAATCGGGACAAGCATCATTCCTCCTCATCGTCGGGGCATAAAAATAGCAGCAAGGATAAGGATCGCAAACGTTCACGTGAAGACAGTCGAGACAATGGCCACAAATCGAAGAAATCACGACGTTAACCATACACACAACCAGCGGTAGTTGAGATAGACACAAACTACCCACACATACAAATACACACTAGACACAAACACTCAAAACAGTCAAAACAAATACATCCATTTTGTAAATTTTTGGAGACACACACACACCTGCCACTTTCCATGCAAAATTTTCCTTGCTGTATTTAACTGTTAACCTAACCTATTTCACCGCGAACTTTATACCTCTCTTCTGCGTCTATTGCATCATTTATAAAAACTGTAATACGAATTAAATAATTATAATGCGTATATAGATTTGTCTATGTAGTTATCGTAGTGTTATTTGTTCCAGCTTCCCAAAAGATGACGATAACCATGCACGTCATAGCTGTCACGTCTGCGACTCGAGCGCAACTCCTGCTCCGGCTCTCGTTTCGGGTGGGCATTTGGACTGGTCACAGCTGCTACAGTTCCTCGTCTGCGAGTTGAATCAAACATGTTTCGTGTCTTGTTGATGGGATAGCGCATTTTGTTCTTGAGCCATGTTGTGAAGGCGCGTTCATTATCTTGCATTTTCTTAAGTTCATGTTCGTTTCGATTCAGCGTCTGTTCCATGGCATTGCGTTGCTTGCGTCGCAGCTGTTGCTCACGTTGCTGCAGCTGCCTTGCACTCAGCCCATACTCGGACATATAGCCTGTGTAACGAGGTAACTTCTCTTTCTGCAGTGCATGACGGTGCTCACAACAGAGCTTATAGTTTTTCTTAAGATCCGGCACGTTTGCAACTGTAGATGCTGCTATCGGTGTGGCTCTGGGGCGACGGCGAAAACTAAAGCGGCGGGCATTAAAGAATGTCTTGGTGTTGGTACTGGTGCTCAGGTTTTGCTCTGCGCCGTCTTCTTTTTTGTAATATACGCTGTGTTCGTCCAGCTCAAAATCTTCGGGTATATAACTGGCCACAATAACGGAGAGGTCATCCTCTTGTACATCCTCATTCACATTGTTGGTTCCAGTTAGACGACTAATCTGCTCCTGCCCTCGAACATCTAATGTTTTATACAAACTTTTATATGCTTGTCGCAGCTTGATGCGCGCCTCGTTCACAACGCGCTCATCTTCCTCGCAATCGGACTCAGTTAGCAAATTGGTTAAACTCCTCTGGTCCAACTCCTCTTCCATATACTCATTATTCAAATCGAATGTGTTCTGACGTGTTACGCGGAGTTTTTGTGTGTCTCTGGCAAGCGTCTCTGTAGCAGCCGTCAGATCATCCTCATCCACGCCAGAGAAGTCATCGTCCCCGTAGTCCATGCTGGCAGGCAGAACGGCTGGAGCAGATTGTTTGCTTTGACTGTTGCTGTTTTCTACTTCTGTAAGATCTAAAATTTCCTCGCATATTTCCTCCTCCAAATCTGGCTTTGCTGCATTCTGCTCCATATCCATCTTCGTTAGTTCATTTGTAGGCTCCTCCTCGATCGGTGCAAATCGCTCGCGTTCGGTTTGAAGCGTCAGCTCCGCCAACTTCTGCAACATCTCAGAGGACGGACTATACTGTTCTTCCTGGGTTGACTGCTGCTGTACGGGCTCGTAATTTTCTAGATTGAGTGCAAAGGTTACCTTACGGTTGGGGGCAATGCTGCCACTTAGCTGACCGACATTATCATCATCTTCGTACAGCGAAAATAGCTGTTTGTTGGCCTCCTTAATCTTGTCTACAATGTTATACTCGTTCACAGGCTTCAGGACTGCATAATAATCCAACATAAGCGGCATATTAGTACTCAACCCAACTCTGTTGTGCGAGTTAAGTCGACTCCTTTTCTACTTACAGTAAACTTCGCAATCGTCATCCGACTCTGCCTCCGGATCATACATCTCTGACTCAATTCGATACGAATTTTCGCAACTCGATTGCGTGGATTATTATTTTTAGATTAGATTTATGTGCTTAAGACGGTAAAATTTTCCATTTCGTGCTATTGAACGCTTTTACGCGCAGAGCACGAGACAAGAACCCATTAATGCAGAAAAGGGCCTATCAAAAGGTCTAAGGAACTTAGGTGTTTATGCATACACCAGATACCCTGTCTACACCTCCTGCTGAGGATATGTTTATTAATATCATATGTCTATTGCCGTTGCCAAGCCCCGACTAGACCAGCTTATCGTGCCGGCGGCTAGCGCTGTTTGGTCGATGCCTGGTGACAACTTGTCTTGGTGGAGGCCTAGGTATACTCAACTGGCTAATACCCTAGAACATTCCACTTAATGTCACTTGCTGAATAAAACTTAGAATTGCATTTATGCTTGTTCTGGACCAAGTTGAACAATATGAAATAATCAATCTTTAAGACTTACCGAATCATTATGAGATACCAGATGTTAGATTGACTCCGCAAATATTTGTACTAGTGAAAGAGCGCTCAGTCGAGTCTAAGAAATTTTGAATAACCGTTTGCCAGTGATAGCATACATACTACCAAATAAATTATAGCTCCCTTTACTGAAAAGTTTAAAAAATATTGCACTTTTAATATACCATTCACGCATACTTCATAAAGGACAAGGTATCATAATAATAGATTCGTTTGACTGGTAATTTCATGCACTTTATTTCATTGGGGTTTACTCAGTCAACCACATTTAAAGCTTAATAGCTAATCATTAAAGTCAAATTCAAAGTCGAGCAACGGTTAATATAAAACATAAACTACAAAAATGCACCTGACTTATCTGATTTTCTTGCAGTACATTATTGAGCAACACATACGAGACAATGTAGTTAATGCTTATCTTACTAATCAAGAAGCTTTCAAATGCTAACTAAATAAATTGAGAAACTTTTGCTAAGCACAAAGTTCTGTCAAGTATATAAGTTATAGCTAATTTTGTACGTATTTGAAATATGAGGGTATTCCAAATTGCATTAAATATACTTCAAACCCTCTAATACAAAAAAAAAAAAAAAAAAAAAAAAACAGGAATGAAAATAATACATAAATTTCGAAACAAAATATAAAACAAATTAGAAATTAGAAATTAGAAAAAAAAATTTTTAAATATATTTCAATATGCATTATAATTAAAACCCAACAATATGTGAAAAAAATAAAGCAAATTTTAATTCATTTTTAGTAAACGTAAAAATTCCGTATATAATTACAAAAAAATAATAATTTACATTATAATTGTGCCTTAATTTTTGTATATATGAAGTTTTTCAGTTTTTTAAATTAATGTGTTTTTTTTACAACCGCATTTATCATACTTAAAAAATTATAACATTAAAAACTAAACGGCGAAATGTAATAAGAAATTCATAAAAAACTTTGGCTCACTATTATGTGATGTCTGATAAGTGTGTGAATTTATGCCAGTAAATTATGTGTATAATTTCATTAAAGGACGGGTAGAATTGTTTTAGGTTAGAAGATTGACGCATTGTATAGCTTATAAAACGCATATATTGCTACTCACTTACATTACTAATAAATTTCTTTTGGTTTAAAGGAATTCTCAATACAGTTGTTTGTTAAATAATTATCATAAGCAATGCACTGTGCTCTCTGAATGATTATACAAACTAAGTTGCATTCTATATATAT